TCAGATCGCCCCTGCGCGTGTGCAGCCAACACCTGACCGGACGCGCCTCTGCTCAACGACCTGACGCACCACCGCCTAAGTTCGATCATTTCTAGAGAGCTCCCCGAGCCTCTGTTTTGTGACCGTACGCGTCAGGTGAGTCACGATCGGATGCAGCACCTAAGTCCGGTCCTTCACTGCCTACCATGTGTCAACGCTACGCCCATGCCACTGCTTCAGTGTACATCAGAGATGACCGAACGCGGCCCCTACGCATCAGGTCACTCTCTGCGCTAGCGTCCGGTCACAAGACCAAGACCGCACGCTCTCTGCAGCCACTTGACCAGACGCGCAGGTCCTCCCAAGGCCCGCATCTGGTCACTCACAGTGACCTCCTTTCGCCTCCTTTTCTTCACCGAGTTGATCCGTTTCAACTCCAACTTCTCCTTCTTTGCAAATGTGCCAACACTACCAAGTGTACACCATCATGTGTATGTGTGTTAGCATTTTCACAATCATTTTTAAGGAGTTAATCACTCAACTTGACATGCCACTCGATCCTAGCAACGATGCAAAGATAGATCACTCGAGTGGCACTAGATGACCAATATGCAGATAAGTTTGCCACTCTTGATAGTACGGCCATCTATCCTAAACCCGATCATCAACTTCTCTACACACCTATGACCAGTGAAATGAAATGCCCAAGGTTATACCTTTGCCTTGCGCATTCCATTCCATCTCCTCCATTGTTGATGCAACACATGCACCAACCAATCACCAAATGATATGATCCACTTCATATCATCACGTGACCATATTAGTTCATCGATCTTGACTTCACTTGTTTTTCACCATTGCCTTCATCCATCGGCGCCAAGTCTTGCTCAAGCTTCACTGCCATGCGGTCCATTGCTCCAAAGCCTCCAACTTGCCCTTCACGCTTGCAACCGGTCCATCAAGCCAAGTCTTGTCTTGATCTTCTTCACCTTAGTCACATGCCTCCATGTAATGTCTCATATGCAATGAGATCCTACATCACATGTGTGAGCCTTGCAACAAGTTCAAGCCATCTTCACCGTCATGGCATGAGTTGCTCACACAAGTGTACATGTGGACTAATTACTTGTGTATCTCATATTTAAACACATTAGTCCACCTAGGTTGTCACTCAATTACCAAAATAAAACTAGGGACCTTTCAATGTCTTACACGTGGAGAAGTGTACTGAGGGGGATTGACTTGATGAAAAAAGGAATGGTGTGGCGTGTAGGTGATGGTAGGGGTCTAAAAATATGGACCGTCCCTTGTTGCTAAGGAGTCACTCCAAGAAGCCGATCACTCCTAGGGGCATGGATTTGATCATAGATGTGGATGAACTAATCAACCTAGTGATAGGGACTTGGGATGAAGAGTTGGTGCGAGAGATGCTCTAGGAAGAGGTCTATAAGCTAATACTGGCTTTACCGATGTCAGAAGGCCAAGATAATTCATTGGCGTGGCACTATGACAAGCATGGCAACTTTAGTGTAAGAAGTGCCTACAGGGTCTACCGGGATGATGCGCCAAGGCGGAGAAGAAGTGGTGCGAGCCAGGGGGGAAGTGGGCAAAGCACAGATCCCTGTTGCAAACAAATTTGGGAGCTCTAGTGTCCGAATAAAATCAAGCACTTTCTCTAGAGAAACATAATAGTCACCCATTGCGGTGCAACTTGGCTAGACAAGGCTTGAAGTTGGATATAAAATGCCCGGTCAGTGGACGGGAAGGTGAAGATGGAGGTCACTTATTCTTCAAGTCCAAATTAGCCAAGCGAGTATGGGAGTTGCTGTCATTGGAGGGGCTCCGTCAGAACCTTGCTGTCCAAAATTCTGCATGAGATGCGGTGGCCATCATACTGAAGGAGAAGGAGCCATCCAAAATTTCTGCAGTGGTCTCCTTGTGGTTTCTCTAGACTAACCGAAATGCGATCCAAGAAGAGGGGAGGGGAAGAAATGATGCGGACTTAGCACGTGGAATCAAATCCTATTGCCACGAGCTGAATCAAAACCAAGGGGCAGCCAACATGTAGAGATTGTTGCACGGTGTCAAGTGGTGCAGGCCTCCTGAAGGAGTATTAAAACTAAATTGTGACGCCTCGTTTCGAGCTGAAGAAAGGGCTGGGAGTTGGGGTTTTATTATCAGAGACCATGATGGGGATGTAGTGCTGGCGGGCTAGGGAGATTGAACCATGTGCTCAGTGCATTCCAAGATGAGCTGATCTCTTGCATGCAGGGCATCCAAGCGGCTCTAATCTTGGGCATTGGCAGGCTTATTCTGGAGACTGATGCCTTGATGATCAAGCAAGCAATGTCCTCATATGCTTTCGATGCGATGGTCGAAGGTGCTCTATTGGAGGAGCTCAAGTTCTTGGTTCATGTGAATTTTATAGAGTTTGAATGTAATTTCCTGAGTAGAGTTGGCAATAGGGCTGCCCATGCTTTGGCCGCCTTGGGTTATTTATGCGTTGAAGGGGAAGAACTGATCACCAGTTCTATCCCTCAAGACGTTCATGTAATTGTTTCTGACGATTTGTCAGATTAGTAATGAAATTGCCAAGTTTCAAAAAAAGTGCATGAATTGTAGACAACAGGGCACATAGGATACCGATTTTACAATCCAAGCCAACAGCCACGGTAAAATGTCACTTCATTATTTAGGTCCCGTCTAGTATAGCTTAGCTTTTCAATTGAAGCTGTTTTTTTGGATAACAGCTCTACAAGCAGCTTTCTGAGTGAAGCCGACGAGTTGTTATGAAAAAACTGTTTGGCAGTTTCGCCAACAACTTCATATATGGCTGAGAGAGGTGAATGAGGGAGAGAGTTGTGAAAAGCTATTTTTTTAGCTTCACATCTCTCTATTCCTTTTGTGAGAGCATAAAAATGAGTTTAATCTGTTAAGCTGTTTTGAAAAAGAATATTTGGCAAAAAAAAACTCACAAAATAGCTTTATGAAGTTGTTGGTGAAGCTGTGCCAAATGAGATCTTATGTTTTTGTCGGCTTCTTTTCTCGTTCTCCCTCTCAACCTCCGTGCTAGTTTTGTTGCTCCATCGCCCACAACGCATGCTTGCATTAGTGCCTAACCACTACTAGGTGTGATATGACCTCGTGCGTAGACGTGGAAGATGGGGCTACTAGCCAGCTTGGCGAGTTAGGGTTGGGCGGTTGGCCTTAGGGAGTTAGGGCAACGACTAGTGCAACGGATAACCAAATCATCAGTCGAGATGAAGGCAAAAAACAATAAAAAGAAGAAGAAGCGGGAGAGCGTAGGGACACAAAGTATTGAAGGTGAGAGACGGAGTTTTTTTTGGGAGAATGTGCGAGGCCAGCGACTATATGTGAACGTGCTAGCTCGTTCCTCTCTCTGCTCTCTAGCCAATAGAACTTCATCGTAGTCGGCAATTTAAGATCGTAAATTTTAATAGTTGAATAGTATTTTCTCTCTTTCAAAGTCAAAACTGCAATGTAGACAAGTTATTTAAGCTTCTTCACGAATATTTACTATCTTAATGTGCAATATTAGACATGGAACCGAACAAGGATCTAGGATGAAAATCTAGGGGCTGACACGTGCTAAGGCATCTCGTTCTCTCTCGCTCTAGCCAATAGAACTTCACCGTAGCCGGCAATTTAAGCACCGTTGGGGACCCCTTAATGGAAGGGTTAATAGTTAAAATTAAGAAAAATGTGGGCCAATCTCTCCTTTCTCAAAGTCAAAGGTGCTGCAATGTTGACAAGTTATTTAAGCCCAGCACAAAAGAATCAACCCTTTTATGTCATGGATGACAAAGATACAAATGAATTTGTAAAAACTCTTATTTGAGTTATTTGAAGAAATTGAATTGCTGAAATTTGGTGTAAGAGAAAAATAAAAGAACATATGACGAAAATTCTCTCGGATCATTTACTACATAAAAAAAATGTATTTGAGTTATATATTTACTATCTTAATGTGCATTATATTAGACATGGAGGACGCACGGATGAGACTCGAGCACCGAACGAAGATCACAAGTGACTTGAGCAGCTAGCAGACCCTTTTATGTGATGGATGACAAAAGAGAGAGAAATACAAATGAATTTGTAAAAACTCTCCTTTTGAGTTATTTGAAGAAATTGAGTTGCTAAAATCTTACATTTTAAAAATAAGAAGTTTATAAAAGAACATATGGCGAGGTTCTCGGTTCTTTGAAGGAAAGTACTACGCAAAAAAAAATTATTTGAGTTATATAGCCTTTATTAAAAGTAAAAGATAACAGAAAAATATTTCTTCATTGGAAAGGTCAGGGGTTACCGGGAATAGCGCAGAGATCGATCGATCACCAGACCACGCCAATTTTAAAAATAGCTTGAGCTCTCCGAGCAACTAGATAAACTGAGGAGTGAGGACAGAACAGACAGGGAATCAGATCGGATCAAAGGAACATGCTTGTGCAAAATGAAAGAAGAGCAAACAAAAAAAAGTACTGAAGGGATTGAGATGGGCCGTGATGTGGGGTCGCATCCGACGTGGTCGGTGCAATGAGAGGAAACCATGTCTCTTGGCGGTCACTGCCTACCATGATTTATGTTCTGGAAAATCCGAAAATAACACGTGAGCAGCAACATAGCACATTATTGTACCAACGTCAACGTGGCAGGAAAATTGGCAGCTTGACAAATACAGGAAGACCACCTGGCGCGATGTGCCCGTCACTGATGGAACACGTTACACATAGCAGTACTCCGTATGCACCTCGCGACGCGGTACACGGGAGCCATGGAAGCCTCCCGTCCGATCGGCCTCGGCCGTCGTCGGTGCCACGTCGCGCTTCGAATCGAATGCGCCCGTGGTGTTCCACGCGCCACGGCTCCCCTCCGCCCCGGGTCAGCCTCTCCCAGACCGGGCTCGACCGGACCGACCAGATCAGACCGGTCCCATATAAGCGACCCTTAGTCTCCGGCCCGATCGATCCATTGGACCATTTCCCACTCGATCGCCAATCATGGAGTTCCCGCACCACCACCACCACGGCCACCGCCGCGACGACGACGAGGACGACCGCCGGGGCCCGCCGCCCCCGGCCTACGGCGGCTACGGCCAGCCGCCGCCACCCGACCCTTACGGCCATCCCCCGCCACCCGACCCGTACGGCCGGCCTCCGCCCCAGCCCGCGTACGGCGGGGGCGGGTACGGCAACGTCGTCCACGTCGCGCACGAGGCCGGCGACGAGAGGCCGCACTATGGTGGCGGCGGCGGCGGCCTTGGTGGCGCCTACGGGGGCGGGGGTGGCCCCGAGTACGGCCACGAGGGCCGCCCGCACCACCACGGCGGATCCGAGTACGGCCACGAGACACGCCCGCACCACGGGGGCGGGGGCGGGGGCGCCGCGCCGGTGAGGCAGCAGACCTACAGGATCTACTGCAAGGCCGGGGAGGACCAGTACAGCCTCGCCGCCCGCGACGGCAAGGTCTGCCTCGTGCGCACTGACCGTGACGACGACGCGCAGGTAACGATTGCGGTGGCGCCCTGCCTACCCGAAGATATTTGTTCCATTTTGCTGTACTCTGCTCTTGCTGTGGGGTGTTGTTGTAGACGTGGCCTGATCCTGATCATGTTGAGTTTGAACTGCCCCAAATCCGAGTTGTGATCGCGGGGTCTGGACGAAGATTCCCTTCCCGATCTTGCTCGGAAATTTGGCGGCTTCGTTGATGCGATCCTGCCTTGTCTTTCTTTCTGGGGATTGGGGAACACACAAGAAAAAAAAAAAGGAATTCCTCAGTTTGACATTTGTCTCCTTGCCTTGTGGTGACTTTATTCAACTTTGCTTATGATGCAGCACTGGATCAAGGACATGAAGTACAGCACCAGGGTGAAGGATGAGGAAGGCTACCCTGCCATTGTCCTCGTCAACAAGGCCACCGGAGAGGCTCTCAAGCATTCTATTGGCCAGTCACACCCTGTAGGTCTCTCCGCTCGATGCTACCATCTATGCTTCTTCATTCGGCTTGTTTTAACAGTCATCTACCTGTTATATAATCACAAATGCTTGTGGAAATGTACTCTGTGCGACCATCGATCTTATATGTACAACTTTGAGATTCATGGGTAATGGCACACCCTATATATTGATTGCGAGTAGTATTTCGAAGCACAACTATTTGTCTTGGTTATCAGTTAACTAAGATTCTGTTATTATTGTCTGAAGTACCATAAACATGCAGGGCTCGCATGATTTATTTTTTGTCCTAATTTCAAATAATGTTTGATTAACCATTGTCATGTACTTCAGCAAATATTGTACAATCACATCAGTGTGCCGTAGTGGGTACCTTGTCAATAGTTTAGATCTGTATCTGTCCTTGGTGTTTGACATCCGCATCCATGTGCGTATCACGCTGCTCCTATCGGTGTCCATGTGCATATCACGCTGCATATTGTGTCATTTGTCCTAAAATAATTTGGTAATGTTAGTCGTGGTAGTATGGTTGTGTCCTCACGCATTCCTAATTGCACATTGAAACGTTTATGAGATTTGCTTCATCCTTACCCATGTTATCTTCAATGGACTATTTTTAGGTTCCTCTGACCCGCTATGATCCAGACAAACTGGATGAGTCGGTCCTGTGGACAGAGAGCAGGGACGTTGGGGATGGATTCCGCTGCATTAGGATGGTCAACAACATCTACCTGAACTTTGATGCTTTACATGGAGACAAGGACCATGGTGGTGTGCGCGACGGAACGACCCTTGTGCTGTGGGAGTGGTGTGAGGGAGACAACCAGCGCTGGAAGATTGTTCCCTGGTGTAAGTTTTCTAGAATTTGGGCTGCACATATATATAGTTTCCTACTGCAACATTATTGTCATCCATATTTTATGCACCAACCGTCTTTATTGGAAATTGCAAAAGTTAAATCACTATCAGTAATAATTTATTTTTTTACTACTCGTCAGTTTGATTTATTGCATATAAATAACCATCATTAACTGTTGAATAGTTTGATTTGTTCTTGAAAAGCTCTTAAACAATTGTGTTGATATTATTTCTGTTCACACATCAAAATGAATAAGCTTCTTATAAAAAAAATCGAATAAGCTGTATAAGATCTGAGATGTTGCAAAATCTCATCATTGATGTGTGGACTAATCTGACTCTGGTTTGTAAGATGGGTCTGTCAACTAATTATGGTTCCTTCTGTTGGCAGGAACAAGAAAATGTGCGGCTGAGCCGCACCAAGGAGCTCCTGTCGTAATAAGGGAAGTGATTGGTACTGAAGTTTCTAGAAATAAGAGGCGCTTCTGAGATGCCTGTGTGAGTTTTGTGTTCCATTCCGTTTTCATGATAACGCATTGATATATGTAATGCGCGACACTACACTAAGTGGCAGCGTTGGTATATAACTATATATATATTGTATGAACCCATCGTTGTTGGACTAATGTGACGAGTGATGTATGAACCTTTGCTTGAGGCATATGCTCTGCTGCTCCTGCCGTGGAATTTGTGAGTTGATTATGTATCTTGTGAGAAATGGTTCGTGTTATGCATAAACGTAATTCTGGCGGTAGCTGAACCTGGGAGCTTGGAACCAGAACATGAACTGAGCCTCATCAATCACCATGCTTCCTCTGCTCGTGTTTCACCTTTCACGCACGGTTACTGACTGGAGTAGAGGATGTCGAGGACGATGGAGACGGTGCATTTATTGTGTTCATCCCTGCAGCATGATGCGATAGCTGTGGCTCCTACCTTTATTCAAGTTCGTGCAGTAGTCGATGCTGCACCTAGCCGGCCTGAAAGCATGGTCCACTAGAAACTGTCGGGAGAGCCGGAGGTACATGCACCTGCCGAAAAAGATGCCCGTTTTCGTAGTCTTCTGTGAACTGCTTGAAGATATTTTTTGGGCAGTATCATGCGTTCATTTTTCGAAGATTGAGATTTGGTGCCTCCCTAATCGTTTGCACACGGGCCAGGACTTGTATAATAGAGGCTGCGATGCGCTTAGTTGGTTCATGAGTTGAAAATTAGAGACCAGAGCTGTTGAATTTTCTGCAACTTCATGGCTGATTCTGTGGTTTGGCAAAACAGACCGTCTCTTTCTGGCAGGACAACAGTAGCGCTTAGAGCGTCCGCAGTGTGCGTTTCATTTCAATGCATTTCAATGCATTAGGTACGTAACGTTGTGGGGTGGGTTCGATGGAGGAGCAGCTCCGAGCTATCCAGCCGGGTCCGAGCTATCGATGGAGAAACGCCCCCTCTCTTTTTTTTTATGTGTGTGGGTCCGGCAATCGAGCTTAGTCCGGTTCGATCCACTGTGGGCTGAATAGTAGGACGAGTCATGTCCAGGTCCAGTCCCACTATCGGAATGCCCCCGATGCTCCACACTGCGGACGCCCTTAGCAACATTTGGGCTTCGATTGATCCTCTTTCGTCAGTGTTAGGAACGGAATTGGGGAAGGGATTGGAGAATAGATTGAGGACGCGAAGAAGAACACGCAAGGAGATGGGGAACAGAACCAGGACTGGTTCTGGATTGTTGTTTCTTATCTGTATTAGTTTGTTCCTTGTCTTCCACCCCTTCCATCTCCTCTCGTAAGTAGTGCAAGATTCCCTACTCTAGTCACTGCCACTTAGGGTCCATGTATCGCCCACTTGGGCGGGTGGCACGTGATGAGTAGCGCGGCCCCTTGCCTGTGTCTGCAACTCCTTCCTGTGCCAAACACGGCATATGCCCTGTTCGTGTGATGAGCCATGGCGTGAAGCACCCTTGAATGATTTATTAGGAGATGTAATATTATTTTTTATTAGTATTCAAAAAATACGTCTGGTAATATCCTCTCGACATAACAAATAAATTTTACAGTGCCATCGTCGAGCCTGCGTGTCCTCAGTACTAACACCCCCGCTGGAAGAGAAGCTGCTTGTCCCCAGGAGCACGCGGAAGCGTTGCTTCAGGGCTTCGAGATCTTCCTAGGTGGCCATTGATCGGGGGAGCCCAGACCATTGGATGAGCACTTGCGGAACGACGGAGACGTCGGAAGTGATGACGTGCCCCTAAAGAACCTTCACTCGAAATTGCAGGCCGTCCAAAGCTTGGGGAAGCATGGAGACGGTATGCGACGTCGGCACCACGGTCTTGAGCTGGGACGCGTGAAACACAGAGTGGATGGAAGAAGTCGCCGGCAAGTCGAGCTTGTACGCAACAACACTGATTTTGTCCAGAACCTGAAAAAGGGCCGAAGAACTTGAGCGCGTGTTTAGTTCCAGGAACTTGAATTTGGAAGTGATGAGAAGACGCCCGTTTTTATTTGACAATTAGTGTTCAAACATGTCCAAATTAGGCAAAATGTTCGGTATGTAATTTCCCACCAAACTGTCTTTAGTTTTTTTCATCTACATTTAATACATAGTGGATGGAAGATAAACATTTGATGTCGAGATTCATCGCAGCAACACTTTTGGAATTTCCAGAACCTGAAAAAAGGCCGAAGAACTTGAATGCAAGCTTTTGGTTAGAGCGAGGCGCAAGGGAAGCCTGCACATAGGGCTACGGCTCCAAGTAGACCCAGTCACCAATAGAAAAGTGACCTTTTGAGTGAGATTTGTTGCCTGAATGTGCATGCGTTCCTAGGCACGCTTCACGCTTCAGATGTTGCTGGATCAACTCTGACATGAGGGACTTTTCTTGCATCCAGTCAAACAGGGAAGTTGGGGCAGCAGCCATATCTGCACTCAAGCCAAAATGGCGTGGATGATTGCCGTAGAGGACATAGAATGGCGAAAACCCCAGAGAAGAATGCCAAGTCATTTTGTACCAGTACTCAGCCAGGTAGATCCACTCGATCCATTTTGTTGGGCATGCACTGACAAAACAATGCAAGAACGCCTCCACGCAATGATTAACTCTCTCTGTCTGTCCATCCATTCGCGGATGATAAGCAGTGGACATTTTCAGAGTGACGCCAGTTAGACGGAACAATTCTTGCCACAATTGGCTAGTGAACACATGGTCTCTGTCATATATGATAGAATTGGGCAATCCATGGAGGTGGTAAACATGCTGGAGAAAAAGCTTAGCCACTGAAAGAGCCGTAAAAGGATGATCCAAGGCGATGAAATGTTTGTACTTGGAGAACCTATCAACAATGACGGGGATGCAGTTCTTGCCACGAAGAAGGAAGGCCCTCCACGAAATCCATGAAAATACTCTACCAAGCGATAGTAGGAACCGACAGGGGTTGGAGAAGGCATGGATAGCGTGCGTGGTCTGGCTTTGCTTGACAGGTTGGACAAGAGACAACGAACTGTTGAACTGACGATTTGAGCCCAATCCAAGAGAACAACTGTTTGATCCGGCGGTATGTAGCCAAAAACCTGGAGTGACCCCCAACAGCTGAGGAGTGGAACGCCTCAATAATCTTGTGTTGGAGAGGAGGTTCGGCCCCTACCCACAGTTTGCCTTTGTCACGGATCAGACCTCGGTACAAATCAAAATGTGGTTCAGCAGAAGTAGAAATTGCTAATGTAAGGAAAATGAACTTAGGCCCATTTAATTTGGATTTTAGTGATTGATGACAACACGATCAAAACAAGCAAATAATAATAGATGCAAAAATTTAAAAACTAATCTACTTGCTATGATGCAATGCAAAGGCAAGATTATACGATACTAAAGAATACCACTTGTGAAAAACTTTGAAAACTTATCTTGCCCTTGCAAATGTCCTATGTGGCATTATGGATTTAAGCCTCCCCTAACTCCATAATCTACTATTCTCTCTTTCTCGGACCATTACCACTTGTAATTTATTATGATCGGACTTGCTTTTGGTCCTACAAATTCTCCCCCTTTAGAATCAAACACCGAAAAGAAAAACATTAGTAGCACAAGGGAGGATCAAATTTTATGATCCTTTATATGTAGAGTGGAATAGATCACAAAACTTGACTCTCACATTACATAGACTAAGATCTCTCTATATGTATACATACATATTGTGGAAGATGAAGTATATGCATAATTGGCAAAATAATGCACAAGGGAGTTTAATCTATATAATGCATGAAGAAAGCATAAAAATATTAAATTAAAATCAACATAATGATATCAGTTTTAGGAATACAATATGTAGAAACCAATTTGATTGACACCACTTGCAAGAGGTGGTGGATTTTTGAAGTATGATGCTTATCTTAGGGGACACCATTTTCCTTGCAATGAGACTACTACACACACGATAAGTTTGAAATAGTGTTAGTCTCAAGGCATCCAACTTATAGAGTAACCTCCCCCTAAATTTGTGCATACAAGCATGGAATACTTGCAGGAGACATGCACATTGATTTTGGAATAAAAAAATACCACTTGAAAAATGACATCACATGAATGTGAGAATCATTTTTCAAAAATAATATTCGGGGGAAATTATCTATAATTTAGACTTTGACACATATTAGAAACAAACTAGTAAAACAATTTAAACATCTTGTAAACCGAGCTATGTGTCGTGCTCCTAAATAATTCAAACCATGTAGGTTTGCTTCAAGGGTAAGAGTGATACCGAGCAATCCTACCATATGATTTACTTAGTGAATGCATGACAAAAGATTAAACATATAAATGCAAACCTAGGCATAAAAGGAACTAGATGCTAATTGAAATTGTAAGAAATTAAATATAGTTATCTAACATGGGAAGGGGAATTTGGGTCCATAATTTACACTAACCCACTTGACAATTACCGTGTCCATCATGATGCACCCCATGAAATGCACACAAACTATGCCAAGTCTCTAAATTCCCCGTAGTCCATTGGACTTCTCACTTGCCCTTCGGGATCCAAATTTTTTTGGTGCTCTTCATGTTTGAAATAATTTCCTTTGGCACCTAAATGTGTTTGGTCCCATTGTTAGCTTTCTTGTTCACCTTGATGGACACCACCTTGTCATTTTTCTTCTTTTTCCAGAGATAAGGTGTGTAAGCCTTCTTGTCCACTTTGTTGGTGTAGGTGTTGCAGAGCTTGCTTGTTTGCTTTTT